CTATGCTAATATCTACATCATGAAATTGATTTTTAATTTTAATTGTAGAATCGGAGTTAACAAGTTACTTATGTTTGCATGACCATGATGTTAGTTTTGCTCAGGAGTATTTCACTGATGCTAGTCATTGTTATCCTTCACGTTTTCCTCTTCCTACCTTGACAGTTGTGAATAAATTCTTCATGGACAGAATATGTCCTTTATCGACCTTGTTGGATGAAGATTTGGTGATGGGGCAGATTTTTGAAGTTGGTGGAAAATACGCAAGGCATTTCCACAGATATTTAGCCATAGAAATGCATTAATGTAAGTGACGTTTACATCACAGCACTTCCAGCCATTGTCAAAAAGGTCTATTTTCTGATCTATGTTATGTTGTTTCCTCATCACAAACACACCTGGAGCTGTGTTTTGTTTCATTCACATATTTAACACACAAATCCTGCATAGTTAGGCTGAGTTTTTCTCTCAAACAGAAAAACACTCCACTGTGTTTTTAAACTCCATACACCTTCACTAGAATCATTTGGAAGATTTCAGCCCTGGAATTCCCCTTCTCTACTCAGAAGGGAAAAGGTAGCTGTTAACTTGAAAACTACCACTTCATGACATCACAAGGTGGAACAGAGCATTTGCTTTGGGGATGTAGACAGACTAATGCACTGCTCAACCATGTGTGCATGAAACAAAACACAGCTCTGGGTATGTTTTAGATTAGATAACAAGATTGTAACATGACTAAAAGCTCACATGAGTCATTTTTATTGTAATATGGGATCTAATATGTAAACAGTTTTTACTCAGATCCATCATGTAACAGTGAGCTTAATCAGTGTAAAGCTTTCCTCACAATAACATGTTCCATTGTAGGGTTTGTTTCATTTCTTTCCAGAAAATGGAGATTAAACGGCAGCCCATGGCAGGCCAGTGTAATATCATTGTCTCTGATCCTCATGATGTGCTTTAGATGTTTCATAAGTTTGTAGCCTTTAGCTGCTCACAATAACGGTGCATCATCTCTCTGAAAATCTGCTTCGCCCATGTGTCTGCAAATTGCTTTGAGATCTCCACAGTCGTAAATTAGGTGGACAAAGTGGCACACCCATACACACCCTCAAATATTCTGTAATGCTGTTTTTTGTTTTGTTTTGTTGAGCTCTGGGGGGAAAGAGCAGTAGAAAATATACAGTTGGAACATCTGTAGAACTGGAGGTGTCCTTGATGTCTATGCAGGAAATGAAAAAATCAACAATGAATACCCCAATTCCAGCCCAATAGATATTTTCTGTCTATGCAAGTTTTGAATTGACCTTGCTACTTCAGCACAATTGTGAGTTATATACATTTGCACCTCAGTATGTCTCAAAGGGGGAAAAAAACTAGAGCTTTCTTTGTCCTGTCTATTCCATTAAATGATATTGCAGATGTCCAATGTCAGCACTCTGTCCAGTTGAGTTTTGTCCACACTGTTGCCCTTGGTTTCACCTCCATCAGCAGTGTCACCACTTTTGTACTTTGATTTCACATTGGCATTCAAGTTCAGTCATTCGGCCGTCTTCCTCCAGTCCTGTCATCCTCACCGCTGCTGTGCATAGAAAGTGTACTGTATTTAACAATGTTTTGACTGGAAGCCCATATTCTACATTATGTAATAAAACAAGAATAGTCACAATAGTTTAATTAGGTCTCCATCACAAATTAAACTAAACTAAACTTTGAGCACAACTTTTTAAAGGGCCTATATTGTGCTATTTTCTGACCTATGATGTAATTCTATCTCTTCACAAACATAACTGGAGTTGTGTTTTGTTTCATTCACACAAGTTTAACAGAAAGCTTTCTCTTCCACCTTGTGATGTCATGTTGTAATACAGGAAGTGCTCCCCTGTGCTTTTAAATCATCTGGATAATTTCAGCTCTGGAATTGCCAATCTCTACTGAACTAAAGGTAAAAGGAGCTGTTAACTTGAAAACTACAGCTTCATGACATTACAAGGTGGAAGAGAGAATTTAGAAATTTGGAGATGTAGAAACTACACTTACAATAAAAGGTTACTCAAACATGTGTGAATAAAACACAAAAGCAGGTCTATTTTTGATGAGGTAGCAGCATTATAACATGACTTAAAGCTCACAAGAATACATTTGGCATAACGTAGGACTTTTAAGAACACTGTACCAAAGACCTGAAATCAGAGACTGCAGCTTCATTTCAATTCATATGGCAAGAGCTTAGGGAATTTACACACTTCTAAGACACAACATCAGAACAATTGGAATAAAACTACATCAGTAATATGCAATAGGTTATGACATATAGGTTTAAATGGTAATAAAAGCCTCTTCAACTCTATGTGACCAGTTTTGGTGACGTCCTATTTCTGTAAGTGCTAAACATGACATTAATGACAGAGACAGTCATCCGCTCCTCACGAGGTCGGGGGCATGTGGTTTACATGGTGGTCTGTGGCCTTTTCCTCAGAGCAGTGTGAGATGGGAGTTTGAGGAAAAGGCCAGGCTCATTGCATGGCAGGGCGGCTCATTAGGGACTTCTGTCACATAGGAGATCTTTGCACTCCTCATGTAACATTTTCATGAATTCTAGTCATCAAAAATAGTTTCAGTCAGTGAATAATACCGTATCTATGCCGAGCTGTTCCAAATATGTAGTTAACTGTGTGACAAATCTTGATCTCTTACATTATCGTTGTGTCTTGGGCAAGAAATTTAACCATCATTATGTGTATGAATGTGCACTCAAAGATGGTGTGTATGGTATAATAATATAAACAAAGCAAGCAAATTAAACAAAAAGTTAAAATATAAGCACAAGTATTAAAGAGAATGTTGTTATCTTCTCAAAAACATACTAGGAGTAGTGTTGTGCTTCATTCACACGTTTGAATAACCCTTTGTTTTTAGTCTGTCTACATCTCCATCTTGTAATGTCATGAAGCGGTAGTTTTCAAGTTAACAGCTACATTTTACCCTTTATTTAGTAAAGATTGGATATTTCACTGCTGAAATGGTCAAAATCATTTTAGTGAAGGTGTATGGAGTGAAAACATAGAGGAACTTCTAGCCTAAATATGCAGGGTTTGTGTGTGAATGAAACAAAACACAACTCCAGGTATTTTTTTTTTTAATGAGGAAACAACATTATAATTGCACTGAGTGTTTTGACTGAGACCCAAAGGCGAGACGTGTAGTGGAAATGTTGCAGCAAAATTCCCTTGAGATTAAAGTATCTGTTTGTCTGTCTATAACATATATATAGTGTAATATGGGCCTTTTAAAGCTAGTACCTCTATTACTACTATTGCAGTAACAGCCTCTCGTAAAACTACCAACATATCTGAGTGAACGTTCCTACCACAGTTTGGTACATAACTGGGTTTATACAGAATTTTCGTTCCATCTGAGGTAACATAGTTGATGGAATATAACAAGCACACATGCCATCCATATATGCATTTATGCTCCCTTACCTGTCAGCCCCCATGTTGTCAAAGCCCAGGAATGACAGCTTGACTTCAGCCTGTCAAAAGTCTTCACTCAGAGATGTCCCAGAGGTGCCTACAAACATGACATCACTCATACTATGTAAAGAAATATTTATTAATAACATCTGAGAGACAATATACACAGTCCTAGTATCTCGTGTTAACAATGATTAGTATCACAACTAAAGCATTAAAAATGACCCACTAAAATAAAGCATGCATCATACTTAGAATTAGAAATACACAAATTTTGTTCTTTCTGTCTGTGTCTGTTACAACATAAACAATAGATTAGCAGCTTGAAAAACACTGGGTTAGTAAAACAAGAGGAGGGCATGGTCCCGAGTGTTAAGGTATTAGTACAGTAAGTTAGAAATCTACAAAAGCACTTTAAAGTAATGTGAAATGTTCTCTTGTTGTACAAATAAAAAGTGTTACAAACTGTTCAATGTTATTACAAATACGCATGGACCTAAAGGAGCTGTATGTAGTATTTTAAGTTTTTAAATACTATTCTGGTAAAGGTGCATTGTGTAACTGGTGTTCTGGTGGAGGGTCCGTCAAAAACTTTCTCCGTAGTGATACTATTGCTTTGTCTGGAATGATTCACAGTATTATATTACACTTTTCTATTGTGGAGGCTACACCAGATGTTACAAGTCAGATCTGTGGAGAGGCGACCCCGCTTACAGTCAGAATGCTTTTTTTCTAGGTATTTTTGAGCTATAAAACCATAATAGAATAAATGTAAGGTGAAACGGTTTACTGTCATACAGTGGAACATTACAGACAGAGTAATGATATATCCATAAAAACAAGCAGATGACAGACCCCCAACCAAAAAGTTACACAGTGCACCTTAAATAGTCAAATTAGGCCACAAACTATTATTAACGTTTTGCATGGCAGGATTGATTGAATAAGTAAGCATATTAACTATTATCTTGTATCTAAATTAATAACTTTATAACTGCGGCTACAAACAGCCCCTTTCAAATATATAATGTTAGTTTACCATAACAAGGAAGAGATTGTTCAATGGCAAAATATAGCAAGCATCTCAAATGTAGCAAATATGGATTGTAAATGTAAGTCAAATCACAATATAACTCAGAGCACAAAAACAAAACAGCAGAGATCGAGCTATGTTGCCAGAAAGTGTACTTTTCCACCCCATCCTGCTGCCATGACAATCTACATGCATTTAGTAAAATACTGTTCCTTTGTCAGAGCCTTGTTCAGTCTTTCTTCTGTGCAAACTCATATTTCCTTCATGTAAAATCACAACAGTCGTTCATCCAGTGGGTTTGGTCCACAAAACTCAATAAATGTGAATGTGAAATAGTTACTTGGAATGTAATTGAGTGTTTTTTTTTTGGTTGTGAAAACATGAGAAAGTAAAAGGGTTTCTATCAGTCTAAGGCCAGATAATGAGAGAAAGTGTTGAATGGATAATGCTGGTAGCTAAGTACCAGAGCTGTACGACTATAGGCGAGGTTATGGGGAGGGTGGTGTCTTCAGAGAGTTGGTTGACCCTCCTTGGCTTCCCTTCTCTGTTGTTCCTTGTCCCACCCACTGTAACACAGGCAAAAGCAAAGGTTTATTAGAAACACAGAAATCATATAGAAATGTGAATCTCTCTCATGTTTATGAAAATGCGTTTTAAACCGCAACCCCCATGCAAGCAGACAGGAGCAACAACACCAAGCTTGTTGATTTCAGATCAGCAATGGTAATGGTGGTAACAGTCACATTTTTATTTAGCACTTTTCCACTTTCAAAGAGGAAGTGCTTTACATCAAGGAACCACTCACATTCACACATTCACACATTCACACACACAGGCACAGACACTGGGGACAAGGTGGATAAAGTGTCTTCCCCAGGGACATGACAGCATTCGTCTGTGGGAGCTGGAATTGCACTGCCAACCTGTGTGTCCGTGGATCTGATCACTTTCCCAGGAATGTGATTTTAATGTCGAGAGTGGCATTCCAACCCCAACCTTCTAGATCAGTGGACAAACACTCTATCACTCTGTTGCCCTGTGTCCAGCAATTTATCTGGTGATTGTATATAGCCTGCAATCTTTAACCTATGTTGTTGACATGTAGCCAGGCAGGCACCACCTAGTGCCTCTGCTCAATTTCATTTCTCTCCAGTGACTTGGTCAGGAATCAGAATATACTAGGTGGTTTGCAAAAACCAAGGAAGTTGTAGACTGCACCCTGGCCAATCAGCGAAGAGCTGTGAAGCCATGACTGGGTCCCTTTTTGTGGTACAGAACAACAGTAAACAAAGTGGTCGAGATGGATGTAGACGAAGCTATAGATTCTGTGATGGCAATGATTCCCAAGATTGAGGATATAAGCCAGAACAAAAAGACTGTTTGGTGAATTTTATCAAGGGGAAAGACTTTATTGTACTTCTTCCTACGAGATTTGGGAAAAGCTTAATATACCAGTTAGCCTCATTAGCAGCGCATTACAAACGTCACGACCAAATAGCAGAGATTGGTTAAATAGAAAAAGTACCTGGCTACCATCGAGCGAACGAATCCTAATGCTGTAAAGTCAACGGTTTCCACAAAGTGGAACCGGCTGATGAATCAGGCTAATTGATGTGTTCCTCGTAAAAAAAAAAAAAAAAAGAGAGAGCGAAGTAAAAAACAATAATAAACCTTTTGAAATGATCTTTATTACCTTTAATAACCTTTTAAAGAAGTTGCCTTAAACTGCATACAGAAGTTTACATTTTTTTCAACAGCATAAACTAATAAATAGAGGTACATTCTTGTGTAGTATGTGCTGAAGGGTCAGGGATACTAGGTCTGCATCTACAACTCTTTGGCAGAACTGTTACATCAGCTCTCTGTGCTGAAACTGACTTAATGGTTTTGGTTTGTGGAATAACTCAAGCAGTCTGTTTATATGAGCTGTTATTAAAAACCACAAACGCTTTCTATTACCAATACTGTACTCTGACATTGTGCCAAAGTCTATCTGCAGAAACACTCTTTCATTCTAGACTTTTTGTTCAGCAAACACTTTCCAACTTCCAAAAAGCAGGCCTACATTTTCACCTGTGCGCAGGTTACCATGGAGATGTACGACATTTTGACCCGTGCTCTGGTGTTAGTAAAGCACCGGTGTGAATTGAAACGCTGGGAGCCCATTTTTTGTGATAGTGGTCCCCGCAGCGAGCCCACTCCTGTTTTTTCAGTGTCCAGATCGGCGACAAAGAGGGGACAAGCGAGGGGGGCTTTCTACATTTCCTTTTCTTCCGCTCAATAGCTTCTCCACTGGCTTGAGATGAGTCCAGGGACTTCTCCTGCCAGCGTGTGCATCTGTATGTGTATTTGTGTGTTCAAACGGATGAATTATTAATCTCTCGGACTACGGTTTGAGGGTCACTGCAGTTTACAGTAAAGAGCCACTGAAGCTTGGTGTAGAGGAGTTTCTGAATCATCAAGACAATGGTTTGGTGAAGGTACAAGTAACACTGAGCCACTATACTGACAATTTTAACAATTTTGGGTGTGAAAGGAAGGGGAAGGAAAGGTGGTGGAGATATTGCATTTTTTGTGCTGTGCCAGCTCCACACTGCTAACTCAGACCTTGTTATCTTGGGTTTTGTCATCAGAGGTGTAATACAACAGAAGCATATTCAGACTGGTTTGGACTAGACTGGAATGGGCCATACTATCACAATATCTTTGGTTTCATGTTTCTGGGTCCCTCTACTCATTGAGCAGCCAAGGTGCACCTCAGAGACACTATGATTAACAGACATTAACACTAACATATTACACTATTTTCTAATCTATGTTCAAATAATATGTTAAAATGTTTTGAGAAATTTAACATCTACAATAACTGTCACTGAAGAGAAGGATTGGAGAACAGTTACGTGAGTGACATGAGCAAGCTAAATGTGAGACACAAAGTTAACTTAAAGGGCGATATTACGTCATTTTCTGATCTGTTATATTATTTTCTCATCAAAAACGTACTTGGAGCTGTGTTTTGTTTCATTCACACATGTAAAACTGCATACTGAGCTCTTCTCTCAAACGGAAAACACACTGCTCCACCTTGAAAACTACTGTTTCATGACATCACAAGGTGGAACAGACCATTTTGAGCTTTGGAGATTTAGACAGACTTAATAAACCAGGATTACTCAAGCATGTATGAAACAAAACACAACTTCCAGTACGCTTTTGATGAGGTAATTATTATAATATGGCCTGAAGCTCACAATTAATTTTGTGTAATACAGGACCCTTAATACAACTAATCTGACTGCTGTACAATAATTAAAAGTCTGCATCTGGTGTTATGGCTTTTCTTTGGCTAGGCCACTCTGGTATCTTGTCCTCTTCCTTTAAAGATAACGCATTAGGCATGTTTGTTGGAAATTGGCGGTTAGTGACTCTAATTCTAAACCTGATTCGTCATAATTGTCGTGTGCATGTCTTTATGGGAGCAGTACCTTAACAAGTGTAAAATCAACAGATGCTGATTATGCCGTTGGCCTGATTGCAGTTCGAGATGTCATCAAGGTATATGTTCATTAGCTGCAGTGTTATTCCTCACGTCTGGTCCTCTGTGCTAATGAGCAATACAGAGACCTCCTGTGGTCAACATAATGATGTCTATGAGGGCTGCTCTGCTGGGGCAATAATGCTCTACACGGCAAGCATGCAGAAGCACAAATCTATTATTATTATTATCAATATTAATAAAAGGCAAAGGCACATGCTGTTACATGCACTTTTTTGTTGACCCCTTCAGCTGAACAGAAGCAGAATTAATTTCAAGTCTCTGCTGAGTTTGACTTGCCAACCATTTGCCTGACCAGCCAGTCCCTTCTACATTTTGTTTGGGTCTAAAATCGAACCAAAGAATGGAAAAGTCTCCGTCCAAACTTGAGACAGTCCAACCACAGCTGCTTATTTGAAGTACATGTCCCTCAAATGCAGAGACACCTCCCTTCCAAAATTCTTGTAACCTTCAAAATAAAATAAATAACTTCTTTTACCCAAGATAAAAATGTGTTTGATGCTTTGATTGGTGAAACAATGGCTCCTTTCAAACCAAACCTGCACCCATAATGTGGACTGATGAGTGTCTGAAGAGAGTGTGATGTTCTAGAGTGAATGAATTGAATGGATGGTAGGATGATGTTTTTAAGATGCTGAGAGAACTGGGTGAGAATGATGATACAGAATTGTGATGATGCTCCGGTCATTATAAAGACATTCTCTTTGTATGTTTGATTTTATAAACTATAACATCAACATGCCCAGGGGCTACAGGTGGAAATTAGCACTGACACCATAACATCTCTCCTGTTAAGCTTAATGTATATTGTGCGCTGTCCCTATCTCATTAAATAAACTAAACTAAACATTCTGAGAAAACCTATGCTGTTTTATATTTTATTTTATTTTTTACAGGTAAGCAGCCAAATTAGTTTTTGACGCGAACGGATTGAGCATCTTTCTGATTGGTTAATCCACTTGTCAATCATGCCTGATTGATCATCATCTGAAATCAGGGAGATGGGATTCGACTCCAGATCCACTCATCTTTGTGAAGTTTTGTGAAAACTGTGTGGTCCTGGTGTGGACAAGGTAATCCAGCCATTATAATTTGGGCTACTTTTGTGATATCAAGCTAAATACAAATGACCTTGTCTGTTTTGTCACTGTAAATGTTAATACAACCCAAAAACCAACATGGCTGACCTCTATGAGCGGGTGCCAGTGTGCGACTGGCTTGCGTGGATATGAGAGCATTTCGTTCCAGTGGTCCCGGCCCAGGCTCTCTGCCTCACTGCCCACTCTGCACACCCCGATCACCTCGTTATGGCCCACCCTGCAGGACAACACAGGTATTACAACACAGAGACGCACAGAGAGTTTCAGTTTACAACTACATTAATAAGGAATATTTAGTTTTAATTCTAAAAATTGGTAAATTAAGTTGAGATTATTAATTTGACTATAGCAAAAAAATAAAAGAAATTTGGGTATGTTGCAAATTTGCTACAATTAGAAACAAGTGCTTGTCAAAGGTTCCTTGGAAGATTCTGCATATGCACTAACCGGCACTGGGGGAATGCAGTCGCTATCTTGCTTTATATCTTGATTCACTGTATATTCACACTATATTTTTATCTATGTTATAATGTTGTGTTGTGAGTTCAGTTTTGTTTCATTCACAGATGTTTAACACTCAATCCCTGCATATTTACAGTGAATTCTCTCAAAGAGAAAACACTCATCTCATGTCGTAATACAGGAAGTGGTTCACAGTTTTTTTTAAACTCCATACACCTTTACTACAATCATTTGGATAATTTCAGCTCTGGAATTGCCAGTACTGAAGGTAAAAGGTAGCTCTTAACTTGAAAACTACTACATGACATCACAAGCTTTAGAGATGTAGATGTACTCTCGTAATAAACCAGGATTTCTCAAACATGTGTGAATACAACCAAACACAAATCCAGGTATGCTTTTGAGAGTGTTTTAACATGGCTGAAAGCTCACAAGAGTCAGATTTGTGTTATATAGAACCTTTGAGCAAAGATATATAAAGAGAAAGACTGATCCTATTGCATTTGTTTACATTTGTCTGTTTAATGTTCCCTGTGTGGTTCAGGGGCTGAGTGTGACTGCAGCACTGACCTGTCATAATCCATGACAGCTATGAGCAGGCTGATCTGGTCTATGTTCTCCGGCGGGACATCAAACACAATGGCTTCGTTGTAGATTGGGTTCAGAGTGTTGCGTTTTGTGGAAGTTTTTCTCTTCTTCAGTCGTCTGCCCTCACACATCAGGGACACCTTCACATACGGATCTGCTCAGAATAAGGTGAAAAATAATGATATTCACAACACACACAAGCCTCACAAAGATTCAAAAATCTTGTATTGACATATCCCACATGAGCTAGCTCCCATCTTTTTTCATTTTCTCAAACACGCTCTATGTTCATGTTTCCTTTCCTTTTTTTTTCCTTTGATGCAAAATTTCAATATTCGATTCTGAATGTGATGTGAAAGAACTACCACATCCTGAATTCTGCCAAGTAAAAGAACTTTCAAATAATATTAGTCAAAAGTCTATATAATAAAAATACAAAAGTTAAAAGCAGCTAAAGTTAAAGGTACAGAATATAAAACCTAGGGAAAAAAAACGTCTAAGAGTATTGTAGAAAATTTTAATTACAAAAAACATAATAGATGTATATAATAGTACAGGCAATTACTAACAAGTCTGATCTATTTTATAATGTTGTTTCCTCATCAAAAACATACCTGGAGTTGTGTTTCAACAATGCAATTCATGGTGAAAAAATGCATAGCACACTCGGTTGGCCGATGTCCAAATACTATTTTATTAACAAAATAACGTTTCGGCATTTTTTCACGCTGATCTGGCTACTCCTTGCATTTGCACCTCTGCAGGAATCTTGGTGTGCGTTTTCTGTTTCTTTTTATTCAACAACATTCATCAACATTCAAACATGACTAAAAGCACACAGGTGTTAGTTTTGTGTAATATAGGACATTTAAAGTGTGTTTCATAAAATCACTGTTCAAAAGCACATATAAAAAACAACAGCAAGCACAAGAATGTTGTTTCTAATGTACTAACCCGAGGCTCCAGTGATGTCCATGGCTTTGAGGTTCCTGGCTTTGATGATGGTGATGGTGAGTCTGCCAGCCGTGGGGAGATAGCACAGTGAGAACATGAGCTCCCCCAGGTCCACATTGTCCTGAACACAACATAAGCAGCTGATCAAAACCAGTTCATAGACTCAGTACAGAATTTTCCATCTCGGCATCTTGACTTGACTTTGATTTTAGCCTGATAATGTCTCTTAGCGCACTATGAAACCTAATGCAACTTTAAATATTTGTCCTGCATGTGTTTGAGAGAGTTCAGATTGTTTGATCATGTTAACTTTTTTTTATATATAACTATACACTCGCTTGGCCCCTTCCACTGTGCCAGAAGCTCATACAAAATATCCAAAAACTGACTCCTACAGTAATCCTGTTGCTATATAGTTTATGAATTTATGTATATAGATATAGTATACAGTTCTGTTGACTATGTGCAGCACTTTGGAAGCTACCTTGTTTATAAAATGTCCTAAATAAAGTTAGATTGAACTGAAAGTATGTACCAGTAATACTCACTCTCATTCACTGAAAGTCCACTGTTTTTGTCCCAGTGACAGGACTGCTCAAAAACACGTCAGACTTTAAATATTACTTTAAGTCTCTGGCCTATTATTTCTAAGGCAGAATCGCTCCCCATTCTAATGAGCTGTCTCCTCCAGTCGTGTCACAACTTGGTCATGACACTGTATTCCAGGCTGGGCACACGTCGCACAGTGTAAAACAGCACGTGTTCAAACGCGTTGAGTCTATTTCTGTTTAACCAACACACATTCATTCACAAGCCTTTCCCCAATTAACACATATGGAAAAAAATGTGTGAAGCCACGGGAGGGAGCTGCGCAACCTGAAAAAATCTCTTATATCTGTTAACACTGGCAAATCTAATGCCATTGTTTATGTAGTTTGCATGATACTGTTTACTTTCAACACACAACTTCCATGAGACTGATGAAACTATCTAGCCCAAAATAGTCCACAATATGGCATTAAATTTATCTATCTCCATGTAAACTAGCAGATCACAAAGCCAGGTTACAAAAAAAAGTGAATAAACGCAAGATCACAAGGAACATTCCTGGCAAAGCAATCACATATCCATGGAGACAAGCAGATGGTTGACCCAAAAAAAAACAAAAAATTATATAGTGCACAAGTTATTATTGGCTTAGGTTCAAGTTTAAGCCTTACATGTCATTCACATTGCTTGCTCTAAGTCCCATTTGGTCAATTTTGATAGGAAGAGCATCTGGTGTATATGTGACTGTAAATATGAAAGGACATAGCTAACCCATTAGCCACTGCATTCCAAACAGGAAGTGTTCATGGGGGCGCTTCTGGCTCCATCAATTCTGTTTCCAATTGATTTTACATTGGAACACATCCCTGTAACTGCTGCTGTGAGACTTGTCATTTTGGTCTTAAAATGATCCTTGTGTTTTTATTTCACTAATTTGTCCGTAAATAAATTCCTATTCTTAATACGGACCTGGCTTCAAATCTCTCCTATAATTGCTAACCTCTGTGAGCTTCATTTGACTGAAGCCGAACACCATGGGACGTCACACTCCTATAGTCCAATTCTTTATACAGTCTATAGTCCCAACACTGACAAAAAAGCAGAAGCCAGATTGCACCAATATGCATAATTTATAGTAATGCTTGAGCCCTTCTCTCTCTTTATTTCTTATTTTTAGTCGCAGAAAATCTGGAAGTGTCATTTTAGAGAGCACCTGTATGAGACATGACTCAGCTCTCTGTGTGGTGCCAGATATTCACACACTCTGCTTATTATCAAATCAAAATTCTTGCTTAGCCTTAAATATTTGAATCTGAAGTGGCAATTACTAGTCCATGCTAATGACTATTTTATACCAGCAAGATTTCCGAACAGAGATCAGGCTGCAAACATATGAAATGGGCTTTGTGCGACAGGCTTTGAAAGGTGGTATTTTGAAATAGAAAAATGTCACCACACCTGTCTCCTTGAATGTGAGAGGTTACGTGAGGGGAGAGCCTGTGGTGATTACACATCCGATCTCTGATTAAGGAAAACTGTGGCAGACAGGAGAGGGTCTCAGTGGGGGGACAGCTTCATGCACACTGCAGCAAATCATATCAAAACTATGAGCTGATCCATCACCAGTGTCATATCAACACAGAGACAGCAGGGTAAAAACTAAAGTGAGACAGGTGCTGTTGACGTGGTACTGTCTATGACATTGCATATATGTACTTCCCATGTCTCACGGAGCCCCTATGTTGATTGTGTTAGTCATCAACTGTAGCATAAATTGGAAAGAGGTTTTATGGATTCTTTTCATTTTTATAAGAGATACTTTAATCAAGCTCCTCATCTTGACCTTCAAAGACTCAGACTCAGTTGTATGGTTGCCTGCCCGGGTTAGAGGTAATATATTTTCTGATAAAGGAATTTCAATTTGGCAAATATTTAGACCTTGACGAGATAGGAACACAAACAGACACCATACGTATACAACCAAGTGTCAGTTGGATTTAATGGGCTTATACTTTATACTTTTCTAACATAATAACATAAACAATACCACACTACAGTTAAGATATTTGTGCAAATTATAAAGCATTTGATGTATATAATGCTACTTTTGACTCTCAGACACTTAACATTGAATTTTATTTTCCTATACTATGACAAAGTAAGTAATGTGAGCTTTTATTCATGTTATAATTGTTACCTCATTAAAAACAGACTCGGAGTTGTGTTTTGTTTTTTACTGACATATCTTTGAGTAATCCTGCATTATTAACCTCTAAATGCTCTGTTGCACCTTGTGATGTCATGAAGTGACAAGTTAACAGCTACCGTTTACCTATAGTTTGGTAGAAATTGACAATTCCAGGGCTGAAGTCATCCAAAAGTTTCTAGTGAAGGTGTCTGGAGTTTAAAAACACACTAGAGCACTTCCTGTGTTACCAAAAGACATCACAAGATGGAACAGAGTGGTTTGTGTTTGAAGGAAGAACTAGGATTTGTGTGAACCATGAACAGTGAAACATGTGAGAATGAACAAAACACATCTCCAGGTTTCTGATTAGGAAACAAAATGAGAACTTAGATCAGAAAATTGCATAATATGGGCCTTTTAACGGTGGTGCAATGCTACAACAGTACACACAGCTACCCTGGGTCAGACTGGGTCGACACTCAAAGCAAACAGACCAGCACGGACCTTGCCAATGCCTTGTCTTAAGTTCACACACATTATATTGTATTACAAATGCAGTGTGTAGTGATAGACCAATCCTCAGGCTCTCTCTGATAATATGATCTACTTCCATCACTCAGGTCTGCAGACGATAGAGTGTGGCTCACTACTCTTATGAGCACTCCAGTACAGCCTGTGGTCAGCATTATGGTCACTATACTCTTAGTCAATGAAATTAGGGCTCCGCTCCAAGGGCCCCAATACAGAAGACAGAGTGTGGACTGTCCATCTAGTCCAATTACTCAAGAGGCACTGTCTCACCCCCGACAGCGTGCAGGGCTTATCAAGAATCTCATCAAGGCTCCAAACACGAGCAAGACTTATTTCTCCCACTTTACTGAATCCATCTTTAAGGGAAAAAAGGGTTGAATTAAATCTATGAGATCAGTTAATGAGATCAGGGATAGTATAGTCAAGTCAATTTTAAAGTAGTTTCTGATCACCTTCATACACCTTCATTAGAATCATTTGGATGATTTCAGCCCTGGAATTTCAAATCTGTATTGGAGAAAAGGTAAAAGGTAGCTGTTGAAAACTACTGCTTCTTGACATCACAAGGTGGATTTTGATCTTTAGAGATGAAGACAGACTAATAAGGGTTACTTAAACATGTGTGAATGAAACAAAACACAAGTTAAGGTATGTTTTTAAAGAGGTAACAAGATTATAAAGCTCACAAGAGTCAATTTTGCCTTTAAAGCCTTTATTATTATTCTATCCTACCTGAGGACATTTTAGCAAATGGTTCAAAAGAACATTTAACACCGCTTTACAACCATTGACAATCATTTAAAACCCAAAATGAGACCCTAGTGCACAATAACCTTACTAGTCACGACAGCACCTACTTCAAAGACCAATGTTTAGGCACCCCTCTGTTTGTAAGTAATTGGATTCTGTACTTTTATGGAAGTTGTTATGAGATACAATTAATTAAAGTCCGCATTATTATAAATGCTTTGAGAAAAATGTTTTGAATGTGTAAAATTAAGCATATCTGGAAGTATTTTCTCATCTATGAAAATGTTCATCTTGTGATCATTTGGTGTGGTGACGTTACAGACTGCACCCACGCCTGGTATGTCAAGGGATTATTTTCCTACATAAAACATATTATATAACTTTTATATAATTATGCCTTATTGACACCTGTCTCTTGCGATCTTTTTTGCTATTTACTGAGAATTTATTTATTATTATTGGGGATGTAACGATATTCAAATCTCTCGATACGATATTATCACGATATGCATCTCACGGTATGATATTTATTGCAATATTGTGGAGAGGCTGATATAATTGTATATGGGACATTTTTTTTTGCTTTTAAAATACTAAATAAATAATAAAATGACAAAATTTTAGTGTGAATTATTTCCGCCATAATCCCAAGAATTCAAGTAAAAACATATCTCTTCATGTTGTTTGCACTGAAATGAATCATGGGACATGTAGTTCCCTATGTTTATAAGAACTTGTAATTCAATATATTGTGACAGTCCACGATTTTATTGTGAGACATTTGATATGATGATATTTTGGTTATTGTTACATCCCTAATTATTACCATTCATATTTTTACTCTTTGTTATTATAATAAATTGCAACGTGTGAGCTGCTGTGTCCAGTGGATCAGTGAAGTTTGTCTAAGTGCTAGTGAGTTACACCTTCTCAAGAGCTTTAGTTCCAAAACACAGCCCTATAATGACAACAAAAGTATTAAAGCTAACTCTTGAGAGCTTTAAGCCATGTCAGAATGTTGTTGTCTCTTCAAAACATACCTGGATTTGTGTTTTGTTTCATTCATACATGTTTGAGTAACATTTTATTACCAGCCTGTCTAC